CTCATCTACTTTTGGGAGAGCATACGCATCTTTGATGGTTTTCTGGTTTAGCTGACGAAAGTCCACACACATACGAAGAGCACCATTCTTCTGTCCTTTGACTCCAGCACAGGTGCTACCATATCTCGTAAGAATATGTCCCTATAAGGGTCTGGAGATGAGGGTTGGGGGTATATACTATACAGCTTGGGTGGTCGGGTGGTGCAGTGGATAGCGCACTTGCCTTTCACCAATGCGGTCGGGGTTCGATTCCACTATCGGAAGTAAAAAAAGTATTTGGGTCACCTGTGTGTGGTTTTTTCCGGGTACTCCGGTTTCCTCCCACAATAAGACCTCCCGCGCCCTAACATCCGGGTCAACAAAAGTAATTAATACTATAAGTTGAAATAACTTGTTTCATAATTGTTGTAAAATAAATGAAAGTTTATATTTAATATACAGCTGTGGTAGGTACATTTTGTAGATTAATGCTGTAGTATAAATGGGTCAAAAAAGGAGATATCTTGACTCACAATTTTTGTTAATAAATGTTCTTGTTACAGTCAAGTAACTTTCAATTTCTGGAGACTTTCAAGCACAAAATCCATGCTTTAGCAGGAGAACGGTTTCATGAATACATGTCCAGAATTAAGAGTACTAACGTAGCCTGGATTGCAAGAGTATGGCCATTAGGATCAGGTAATATTATGAAACATTAACTTAATCTTTATCAAAACAATTCTAAAAACCAGTCATAACATTATGCACTTTATAAGTCACTCTAGTTGTGATTGGAAATAATTAATTTTGTTTTTTTAATTAAAGTAAATGATGTTATATATATTTCAAATCAAATTGCGATCATAGTGATGTTGAACAGGCGAACAAAACACAAACGATCTTTTTTTATCAATTTTAATACGTAAAACATCCCCAACTGCAAATCCAATAACACCCGAACATTCACAATAAAAACCAGCAAGGCAGCACAGATAAAGGACTTCAAAGGTAGTTAGATTAAAACTATAGTCGCCAATCCTTTCTTATACCATTTAATTTTTGTATAGAAAACCTAGCATATCTACATCAGTTTCAAATAAATATTTACATTTGCATGGTATTGTCACTAGATAATCTATTTGAAAGCTGTGTCGTAGATGGGACTTTAAATGACATGCACCACGAAACACATTTCTTAGCCAATCAGCACGCGACAATACGCTGTTCCAGTTATTGAGTTGTTACAGTCCTTGTACAGACTGACAATAACGCGGGAATTTTAAATAAAAAATATAATTTGTAAGTTAAGAGAAACGTGAAAGGCGGAGAAACCTGCCTTAACGGCCCGACCGTCCAGTGGAGAGAGAAAACAGGGCAAACTTATACTGTAGACAGGTGTTTTTCATAGATGTCAGTCTCTGTTTACATGTGGTATTGACAGAGAGTGATCTAAACTACCGGATGTCATTTTTGACAGGTTTTCATTATAGAGATAATTATTTTATAGACATATGGTCTTTAAGAACGGGTGTTTTTTTTATATATAGACAGGTATCGTGCATATACAAAATTGTCTTACAGACAGGTGTTCATACATATATGGAATGTATAGGCATGTGGTCTCTATAAACAAGAGTTCTTTACAGGCAGATTGTCCTAATGAACGTGTGCTCTTAACAGACAGAAAGTGTGTTATACATATGGTCTATATTCATTTATTTACAAAGTGTATGTACCCACGGTTTATGTAAACAGGTTATTGTAGTAGAGACACGAGACATCGGTCTTTATACAGAGTTCACTGTACACAGATACTTTAATACAGATTCCACTGTGTAGCACTGAAGTAATTTAGCATATAAATAAACATAAACACACGCATATATAGCGATATATTCTTACTTTACGATTGAACCAGATATGCGTCTATAAAATCATGAAAAAAGGCTTCATTCGACCCAATTCTCAGTAACAAGGTATGCTGTTATTTTCAGATATGGTGCATCATACCTATAGTCATGCCGAAAAAAACAACAGTTTCCAACATTTATTACATTTCCTGGCAGTGGTTCAGGGGTCCTTAATCGATGATGTTTTGTTATAATTTATATTAATATATAAATGTATACTGTGCGTTAAGTGGTGTTGTCGGCCCCCGTTATTCATAACTTTACTCGTATCTTCATGAAGGTGCTTCCATAAATGCATTAAACAAACCCGGTCAAGTTTAAAACATCATTTTGTAAAGAAGGCTAAAATAAAAGCAAATTGATGCAACTGGTTCGAACATACTTTTGGCGCATAAGTAATGATTCTAGAATAGTTAAACAAATATTAATAAAGAATTATTATTTTACCAATCACAAACATTTTTATATCGGGTATAAATATTCAACATGAATGGTTTACGTAATTTAGAATTCAGTATGTCAGAAATATTGTCCCCCACTGTAAAACATATTATAAAAAATATATAGAAACATTTAGGTTTTATCATTATCAGTTGTAACATGACAAAACAAATAGGTTTTATCGTTATCACGTGTTACATGACAAAAAGAGAGGTTTTATCATTTTCGCACGTTTCATGACAAAACAATAAGGAATGGTGATATTTATCATCTAAATAGTATTGGTTTCATTTGTAAGCGTTCCAGATAAACTGGCTCATGCTATCAGCGTCATGATATGTCGTCATGGATTAAGATACATTACACGCTACTCCTGTCATTAGCGATGACGTCATAGACTATGATACTTAAAATGCCGTACCATTCATCGGCGGCAGGAGGCACTTCCTGTGTATTGTTAAAAACAATTATGGGTATGAAAATTTAGATAGGTATTTACATTCGCTGCCGTTTGGATACATGGTTTGTTAAAATGGAATAAGTTTTCCAATTAACAGATTTTTTTCTGAAATCAGCAAAGGTCTTATTGCAACAATCACATATTATATACATACATTTATCAATGTGTAAGAGATATTAAAAAAAGTTCAAAACGAAAATTTGTAAATAAAATCAATCAATGTTGACAAATCGATACTTTCATATAAAAATATTATGACCATTTGTGATAACAGGCGGTTTGTGACATACAACCTTGGGGCTACATTAGTCGAGTCTCTCCTTCTGTGCCCTAAGTACTAGCAGAAGCAGCTCCATGGCTTGTTACATTACGTACAGACTTAAGGCTATCACGCCCCATAACCAATACCTCAATAATAATTTAAAAAAACCACAGAATAAGTGTTGGTTGGATTGTTGTAAAGGGTTATCTACGGACATACTATTGGATTGATTAACAAACGTCATCATCACGCTATCGGAACGACGACACGTACATCTGGAAAATCGTTATGTGATAACACTGATATAGTCTTATACATATATATCTATGTACAACTCAAATGGAAAGTCAAAATATATTTCTTTATACTTTTCTATTAATTGAAAAATGTGTTGATTTTTATTGTTTGCTTGTTTAACGAGGATTTTCAGGGTACGAGTTGTCCTCCGCACATTACACAAACAAATACATTATTAACATACAGTACAAAATACAGGAAATGCATGAACATTAACACTGGTCATTCCCAACACACCAAAACACATACACCCACACACAGACAGAGGAATAATTCGAGGTTCTTGTATACCACTTTTACAAATTAGTATCCGTGATTATTGGGTCTTTGCAATCAACCAGTATATTTCTCAACTCCCCCGCGAGCATACATGCATTGCTGCCATTTCGGCGCTCACAGTTAGCATTCAACAATTCTAGCACTGCCCAACCACGTACTCATTTACAGCTGAGTAGACTGGAACAAGCAGAGTAAAGTATATTGTTTAAAGATACAGCACAGTGCCGTGACGTGACTCGAACCCGCAACCCGTCGGTCACGAGCCCGGCGTCACGCCACTTCACTACCATGCCTCTGTTATATTGACAGAGAGTACAGTTAGAAAGAGAGACATGGATGCAGTTAGTGAGAGGGACAGAAAATACAGTTAGAGAGAGAGACAGATAGTACAGTTAGAGAGAGAGACAGAAAGTACAGTTAGAGAGAGAGAAACATATGTTGTACACTATATTGACAGAGAGTACAGGTAGAGAGAGAATCATATGTTGTACACTATATTGACAAAGTGAACAGTTAGAGAGAGAGAAACATATGTTGTACACTATATTGACAGAGTACAGTTAGAGAGAGAGAAACATATGTTGTACACTATATTGATTTTTATAAAAATGACGCTCTATATCCATATATACATTAATAGGCTGGTACTTTGTACATATTAAATATGTATATTAATTATCTATATTAAATATCTATTATAGATATCATATAGATATGATTAGAACTGATAACATGTATATGTTTTATGTACATTCTGTAAAAAAATAAAGATTCTCTGGACAAAAAATAGAAATTTTCTGTATTTTCTCCATAACGATATCGAAAATACCTTGATAGTTCTATACGAATAAGTGACATAATTATATATATATATACTGCCTATTTCTCAAACAAACAAATAACATTCTCAAGAAATTTGTATTTCCTTGCTTTATCCAAAAAATATCTAAGTTGAAAACGAACATTTAAAAAAAATTTGTGTTAAATGACAAGGTTATTTCTTAAAAGTATCAATTTCAGAAAAGAAAAAAAAAAAGTGCCGCTTTTAATAGTAAAAATATCTAGGTTTATCTTGAACTGTACAGTGAGAATATAAAACAGGTATTATAAATAGCATAATATATAGCTAATATGTTTGAAATAACATACCTGCTTTAAATAACACACATACTATAAATAACATACATTTTGAAAATAACATACATATTATAAAAAGCATACATATTATAAATAGCATACATGTAATAAATAACATATATGCTATAAATAACGCATGCTATAAATACTTTATATATTATATAAAAAACACACATGCTATAAATAGCATACATATTATAAATAACATACATATTATGAATAACATACATATTATAAATAACACACATGCTATAAATACTTTATACATTATAAATAACACACATGCTATCAATAACATACATATTATGAATAAAACACATGGTTTATAGTATCTTAGGGACTGACCTTTTACCAACGTGTATTATGCATATGATACGTACTTAAAAAAATGATAACATTATCTATGTATTCCAGGGTATTTCCCGGATCGGATGACCTCTCCGGCGTTGATGGTGCGTTTAAAAGTTAATTTAAATATGGCACGGTCTTCATATAGATCTGATAATGTAAACCAAACGATCCAAATTTAAATTATCCTCTCTTTGCACACTTTCCAAACCACATCTTCTCCATCATATCTGGAGGAACTTGGTGTGACGTCATCATGGTATTACCGTGATATATACAGGGATCTGGCTTAAATCTGCCAGCATTGAACCCTGGGATAGCCAATAATTTGTATCCTAGTTTTTTAATGCAGAGAGCGACGTACACATCTTCGAGATGGAAAAACGGAACATGTTGTGATACCTCAAACACCTTTGTAGCCACGTTCATACTAGTAACATACCCGGTACCGGAACAAAACCCCGGATAGTTACTTGCTGGGAAACTTTTCTTTGATGCATACCATTTAGATCGATGATCCCGAATAGGCTTTGCCACCTGGTGACACGCCCCGCCGACCTGAGTTTGTAACTTTTCTTTGTGATTTTTTAGTGTTGTCAGAATATTTGGAATGTTGACGTACATATCATCGTCAGTTTTCATCACGAATTTCGCGTCCTTACATTTGGTGCTGGCCCATTTGTACGCCATCATGGTTTTGTATGTCAAGTTACTGTAAGCATCCTTGAAGTCTTCCTGAAGAATATCTTTGAATATATCGAATTCCTCTTTTACGATTTTATTCATGTTTGGATCAGCAGGTGCTCCAAGTAAGAAAGCATATCGGACATTAGAATCTAGGGAGTTGTTTTTAGCATACGTTAGCCATGTTTTACGTATAGTTTCTCTCTGTACTCTATTTTTGTGGACTGTAAAGATCAGAACAACGACATCTATTTCGGGGGACTTGTCGTTACGAGCACAAATTTGATCATTGTCTAATATGTAATTAAAGTTATGATTAAAGCACATTTCACAGTTGTCCTGACGATTTGACGGGGGTTTCGTTGGTACTTTAGCTGGTGATTTTACAGGCAGTTTCACCGTCTTACCGGTTGTAGTGGAAGTGGTCACGGAAACTAGTTTACCAACTGGTGGTCCCTTGTTAGATTTCGTTTCTTCGTTTTCAAATCCAGACAGTTTGAGAACTTTTAAGAATTGTTTTGCGTCCTTTTCGTAGAATTCCTTTACATTGTCTGTGAGTTGTACAGACAGAGTGAACAGTTCACTAACGTGATACCAGTAAACAAACACACTGGCGAACATGACGACGCACAGTCCCAAAAAGGCGTACAGCAGGCTCTTCGTGGTACACGTACGGCCGCCCTTCTTGTTATGGTCATTCATGACGGATACAGTGCAGGCAGTTAAACACGGCATAGTGTGCAGTCCTTTTACCTTAGTACAATGGCCACTTGGTTCCTTTACTATACGATGATTCTACTTTGGTCAATACTTCGATAGCGTTGCTGGTGATTCAGTAAGGTAAATTCGTATTACGCTGTCGTATATTCAGGTCGTATCACACTTCAGTAGAATACTCACTTCCGAAGTCAGCACGTGCGGATTACTGCAATGCGATTAGATATTATTACAGTCTATAATATATATAATAAAAATAGTGAACACCATACAGAAAAATATCGACTACAATACAAGCACAGTTTACACTAATGAACTGATGCCCGGGCACGGATCAGTGAGGCGGGAACATATGTCTGCTCAACTGCCTCGATCAATAACAAAGAAATCGTTCGACACACGCTTTCTAAATTCTAAGTATGTATTCGGTCGATATGTGAAGGTTATTGTATGGTGTTCGAGTAACAAAGGATGTATAACACCCGAGCGAAGCGACGGTGTAATAAGTCCCGAGTGACGAGAAATCATGCAATAACTGGCTTACTGCATGCTTCCCAACTCGAACAAAACATAAACATTGAGTAAAAAATGTTCACCTGGACAATATTTATACCTACCCTACACTGCAGATAATTTACATGTACCTGTCTGAGTGAGTACTAATCAGAACCAGGTAATTTTGTCAGTGTCAGGGAAGGTAAGGAGTGTCTGTTCAACAATTAGAACAAAATACAGGAAACAATGTTGAATTTCTAACTACATTTTCAGTTTAATTTTTGTAACCATTTTCATATATTTCAATGTAAGGGTTTATCAATCCCTAAGAAATTCCAGTTCTTTCAATGAATGGTATATTTGAATGTGCAATTTTGTATAAAGAAACAGCTCCTAAAGATTATAAACTTTTTCAGGAAATGCTTATCCTCTCACGTGATAAGGAAATCAATAATTTTTATTGTTTGTTTTTCAAACATGAAATTACCATTTTTTACTCTCTTTTTTTTCTTATTTTAAATGTGTCAACTAAGTTTATCCTTTTCACTGTATTAATTATTGACTTCATCGTTACTTACTTATTGATTATCTCCCCTTTCTTACATCATTTGTGACCACAGTCCACTGGACACACCCCCTTTCATGGTCATGTAATCATGATTGGCCATGAAAGGGGATGATGTGTGCAGTGGACTGTGGTAGCAAGTGATTTATTGCCCACAGTTTTCCATAGTGAGAGGTGGGAAGTATGCAGTAACGATGTTTTTAGTCTTCTTTGTTAGCTCGGGTAGAATTCGACGTACTGTTATACAAATAAACATGTGTGAGACCATTTAACAGTACGCAATCAATATGACTAAGGTAGAAAATGCATGCACCTTTAATACCAACCTGCTGGCTGGCCAGGCTGGAGCTGTCTACGTCAGTATCTGACACGTTCTTTGGTATTGAAGAGGTTGTTGAGCCACGTCTTCGTCGTCTTTTAGGGGTGTCTCTTCTGCAAGACAGAAAAGAGAAAAATAACAGCTGGTTCAGATGTAAACTAAGTTTGCTCATCACCTTTACTATACGAGTCCACATTGATCAAAGAGTTCTAGAAGGACTAAACAGTAAAATAAATCATTGCTGGCTTACTGTATCTATTACCAAATTTTAAATGTGTAATCGGCCCCTTGTTTGTGTGTTACGTTAAGTTTATAAGCTAATAATTTAATTAAGCTTGTAACAAGCATTTCCATTGGCTTAAAACTTTATGTTATCAGACCATAACGTACAAAATGACGTTGCCGTTTGTAACGTCGCTTTTGATTGGCTGATACAGCAGCGCAATAATTTCTAAGAGAAAAGATTCCATAAATAAAAGTGGATTTCCACAGGGATTGTGTATAGTAGATTAAATTATAAGGATTAACTTGAATATATTTTTCATGTTATGGAGCTATAACACGACAAACCGGAGTGTACTCTCATCATAAACCGCTTCGCGGTTTATTTAGAGTACACCCCGTTTTTTGTGTAATTTAATCTTCTACACACAATCCCTGTGGAAATACACTTTTATTGATGGACTCTTTTCTCTTAGAAATCATTGCGCTGCTGTATCAGCCAATCAAAAGCGACGTTATAAACGGCAACGTCAATTTTTACGTTATGGTCTGATAACTTACATTTTTAAGCCAATGAAAATGCTTGTTACAATTAATTGGATGTAAATAATTATAGATTGATTGCGCAGAAACTGTATCGAATAAACGTTTCATAGAGGGTACATTATAGAATCAGACACGTATTGTTTTGAATCAGTACATTTAATCATAAAGTGTTTTACCGTAAAAAGTTGATCTCATGCATGACAATAAGGTTGGTCTTCCTAATGTAAAATATAGCTATGTGTGATGTAGGTATGACGTATGCGTTATCGCGAGAGGACAACTTCCTCTCTGCGATCTGTTCTACCTTTAGAACATGAGTACACGTAGGTAGGGACTGTTCAGTCAGTCATGTGTGTCTCCCATTCTGGATTTCACTAAGAATTTCATCATCGTTTTAAATAAATTTGTTTTACAAAAGCTGACGATGGACATGATGACCTTTCATTAACGGTAAATATAAAATTGAAGTAGTTTTATATTTGTTTACTTGCATAACTATGCTAACTTTAAACATGTCTTGTAAACCATTTATTGCTAGGCGCGTTACATATAATAATTTTATTACTGTCTGAAGCTTTCGAAATGTATAAAAAGTGTTTGACAAGTAAATAAAAACTATTTGATGTGATTTTATTATATGCTATACAATTTAAATAATGCAGGCTTACTGACAACCACTTAGCGCTTCGAGAAATAATCAAATATTTAATGATTCCCAGCGATAGCTGTTTAAATCGGGAAACCACTGAATATACTCATTATGGTTCCTTATGGTTCACTCTTTATTAATGGTGGATTTTTGTTGAGGTGAATCTGAGGTTATATAGACCTCCGAAATATAAGTCCATTTAACCACAAATTAATCGACATGAAAGTCCTCAATCTTAAGAAGCTAAATAACATTTTCATAAAAAAAGATGGCACGTATGAAAAGTGTACGGATATTAGATCTTCATTAGGCAGAAAGTATTGTGACGTCATAATTGAAATTGTTTAGTTGCGTACGGTAAGTTGTGTTATCATCTATATACTACTTTATACCACCTACCGGTAGCATTATATCTTAATTATCATTTGTTGTCAGTATAAGAATACTCGAGAAGAAGTTTAGAAAGAGTTGAGAATGTGAAAAACATGAGAACGAGTTTTCCCATTGCCCTTCATTTTGGAACGTATTTTCTCAAAAACGAATGTCTGCTCGCGCCAGGTGACGTCCTAAACCGGAAGTGATATCCACACAAAAGTGATCCGCGTAAGAAAAAAGTCCGTCATAAACAAAGCATTGTAAAGTTACGAAATAATATTGTGAGAATAATAAAACCATTTCAAGCGTAAACTTTCATATGGAAAAGCAAATGACGATAGGATTGTTTTAAAAATATTGTTCTACATAGTTTTAAGGTTCATTGTATTCATCCGCGCACATCTTCTATTTGTTTACGTGTCACAGACCGAGTATTAGCGAACGTTGACCATTGCTATCTGAAACAGACTATATATGAACATTGGTTAACAACTATAGTTCTCCTGTTGTTCTTTGAAACGGACTGTAAATGATCATCGATCTACGATGATACATGTAGTTTTCATTTAACGACAAATAGTTAAACTTAAGTTTTCCTAAATAGACTATAAGTAATCATCATCGATCAACGACTGTTATTGTCGTTTTGTTCTCTGGAATTTATCTGTCTCATAGTATACCTGGGCCTTTGATTAAATGAGGCTACACCCTCATGCTTACATTTTGTTAAAGCTCAGTCAACCAGCCCTGTGTATTGACTAAACCTAGTCGCCTGTCCAGTCGTACCTGTACCTGTATATTGTCACTGTTCAGAAACACTCAGTACAAACAGCGGATCAAGTTAATACAATGAACTGGTATGTCAGAGAAATAAAACTCCAGAAATCCTAGCCAAAATTGAACATAACAAAAATACCACGAAACGTGAGGAAATGAAATCTCATTTAGCATAGCAAACACGAAGCGAGGCAAAGCAAGCTGACGGGGGGATATCAAAATGGTCATATCATTTTGTATGTGTTTTTCCTTTAGAATAAACAAAACCTACACAAAAAAATTATTTCTTTATTTTATTTATAAAAAGTCAACATTTAGAAATTCCGAAATTCCGACAAAATGATATGGTTATTAAAATTTGGGTGGGGCTTTGTAAATCAATCTTTAAATTATTTTCCATGAAGCCGCAGTTATTCCATGTCAACAATTCGTTTGTTTACATTAAAAGTAGACAGCATTAAGCGGAAGCGGCAAAATCCGTAAATTTGGGAGGGGGTGTGATATCACTTCAAGGGGGTGTGATATCACACGGGCTGATATCAACTTGTGGACATTTTAGACTTATTACACATACAAAAAGGGTGTTATTATTAGTAAACATATGACAATCACAATTACAGCATGGCCCTCGTAACGTTATCACATCTACAGCATGGCCCTCGTCACGTTATCATATATACAGCATGGCCCTCGTCACGTTATCACATCTACAGCATGGTCCTCGCAAGGTTATCACACCTACAGCATGGCCATCGTCAGGTTATCACACCTTCATCATGGCCCTCGTCAAGGTATCACACCTTCATCATGACCCTCGTCACGTTATCACACCTTCATCATGGCCCTCGTCAAGTTATCACACCTACAGCATGGCCCTCGTCAAGTTATCACACCTACAGCATGGCCCTCGTCAAGTTATCACACCTACAGCATGGCCATTCTATGGTTTCACCTCAAACAATTCACAGAAATCAACGGTAGTGCAAACATTGTAACCTTCAAAGAAACTGCATCATACATACTCAGAGATTTTTACCAGCTTCCAAAAAACAAAGATACCGAGTGTGAGAAACAGAATGTAATTGAAACCGCGGCAAAATTGATTATAAATGACATCAAGGAAATCAATGCATCGAAAGAAACATATCCTTCGACACCAGATGTTTCATCTACCAATGCTAATGTTGACTTTGTTCCTAAAAGCTTGCAGCAATTTTTGCGATGCTTATTCAGCGAAAATGAAGCTGAATTAAAGATAGCAGCGATAGGGCAAGCAATCATTCAAGCCTCTCGACCAAGACTTCTCATCGCTCCACTCCAGCTTGGTTTAGGGGTTCAAACACATCATCAGTTTGCATCGAAGTTTCTGGTAGACACGCTTCACAGCCTTGGGTTTTGTGTATCTTATAGGGAGGTACAGAAGTTTGAAGCTAATGCTGCTCAATCTCAAGGATTTGATATTGATGGAATCACCAATGACCATGTGATTCAGTACATCGCCGACAACGTCGATCACAACCTCAGAACATTAGATGGCCATAATACTTTCCATGGAATGGGAATCATCGCTGGCATTACTCCGAGCACGACGACTAGACGCAGACCTGTTCCTAGAAAGGACATATCTTTGGATGAGGTTGCAGCTATATGTAAAATCAACATTGACTTTTTCAAGCTTCATTCCAATCCTCTTGATATGATGACATACAAGAAACTTACCAGGCTAGAGGGGTGTGATGGTTGTTGGAAGATTGATTTTCTGTCGTCCATTGTTTGGCCACTGAGACCCACTCGCCCAGGATGGTCTGCAACAATGCAGGCTGTTAATCAAGGCATGTTTCCTGGCCAGTCTTCTGTTGTGTTCTTGCCAATGATAGACATGAATCCAGGGGATCTTTCTTGCATATACTCAACCATGCGCTTTGTAAGTAGAGAAGCAGCAAAATATGGGTCTCACCCGATACTGACATTTGATCAGCCGCTCTATTGGAAGGCCTTGATGATTGTTGCGAGTGAACCGTCTGACAGTGAACTCAAAAAGATTGTCCTTCGGCTCGGCGGATTTCATATGGAAATGAGCTTCCTTGGAAGCATTGGCGAACTAATGAGAGGATCAGGCCTGCAACATGTACTGGAAACTGTTTATGCACCAACGACTGTTTCTCATATGATGACCGGTAAAGCTGTGGCAAGAGCAGTGAGAGGGCATTTTCTTGTAGACGCTGCATTGCATGCAATTTTACTGTCCAGTATGTACGACATAGTCTTGCCGTCTTCAACAGAGGAAAGTCAACTTCATATTGAGCCAACCAGTTTTGAGGAGGGAACAATACTAGATGAACAACTTCAGCACGCCAGCGGATCGTCAGAATTGCATGAAAACGACCTGGATGTTGCTTCACAACTCTACGATGTGATGCTGTCAGGAGAAATATCATTAGACGAGGTTATACATTCAGATCTGTTAGACAAAATTCAAGAAAAATTGAAAGCAAGGATGGATTCAATTTCCTGCAATCGAACAGCCAAGTTGTGGATCCAGTA